GATGCATCATCAGAGCGGATCCAGGACAGTTTGTTGCTATAAAAGCTTAGTTTAGCAACAGCATAATTTTCTTTTTTTAAATCTCACCATTGTATGGCACAGCAAGGCAAACCTGCCTTATGCATGCAGTTGCATGCACAGTTGATCTGGCTCTCAGCAGCATGATCCTCATCGTTATAGAACCAAAACCCTGTGACTTTAATTCCACACATAGAGCTGCTTGCTTTCTCTCCTCCAAGTCAGAGCAGTGCCTGCAACTCACTTCAGATACTTGTAAGCTTTTCATTTGCTGTCTGATTTAGCAGGCTGCTTGCCCCACTCCAAGGAAGCTAATGTCTCTCTGCCATCCTCCGCATAGCTGGGGAGGAGGGCAGGGAGGCATCAGTGTACTGATCCCCAAACCAGCATCAAAGCACATACTACTTCAGCACACCCAGGCAAGGCTTCCTATGACACCTGATCATCTGTCATGAGCTGAAAAGAAGCATTTGGTCAAATAGTGAGAACCTCCATGCCTAGACCATGAATTATTTGCAGTTAAGTACTCACAGTGTGGTGTTTAAAGGGCCTGGCACTACAAGGCAGCACTGTCCATCTTGGTTCACTACATTTTTGTTGTTGTCTGTCCTGAAACAGAAGCAACTGTTAAGTCTTGCATGTTATGCTATTTGACACAATTTTCTGCAACCTGTACGATTGTGCTGAGCAAATATGCCAGGGACAAATATCAGATACTTTTCCAGGAGATGTTATAGTGAATTACCTGCCAGGTACTTCTCTCCTCTGTGGTTACTTGCCATAGGAAGGAGCTAGAAAATCCAAAGGGTTTTTTTTTGTTTTTTTTTTTTTTTATTCCTTATGACATGAAGTAGCAGCATCCACTTAGATGTAGAGTTCATAACTTTTCTCCAAGAATGCAATGCAAGTGCCTGGAACAGACAAATATGGAGGTCAGTATTTGAATCTGTAAAGGCAAATGACTCACTGCACTGCTGCCCACTTTCATACATCCTTCCTGATATTATAAATGGGAATATCAGCCTTTGTGAAAATCAAAAACTAGCCACAATGCAAAAGAAAAAGATGGAATAAATAAAATGTGTAAAATCCGTATTCCCTTTTCAGAACTGATCTGCAAAGAATACATTTGCAAGTGATATGCAGAAACTATTCTGCTTTTTCTTTTTAGTCCTTGCTACCACTTATGGGAAGGAGGTGCTGGATGCTGTAGCGAATTGTAGAGCCAGATTCACGGTACAGACCAGCAAAAGTTTGGTATAAATGTTCTCATATTAAAAGACCAATCAAACCAGCACTGTATTTGCTCTGAACCACCAAAGCAGCACAGAAGGATATTTATGAATGCAAAAAATGGGAGTAAAGCCGATATAATACACTAGAAGGGAACATCACCTTTATTATTTCACCTAACAGCCACCTTTCTGAACTGTGCTGGCTAGCTTCTGTCCAGCTGTTCACAGATGTATTGTGTTTGTGTGGCAAGGTTCAGCTGGTGGTGGGGTCCTAAGGAGTGGCTTCTGTGAGAAACTGCCGGAAGCTTCCCCTGTATCTGGGCCCATCAGCAGTGGTGGTAGCGCCTCTGGGATAACAGATTTAAAAAGGGAGAGTTGGGGAAACTGCATAACAGCAACTGCAGCAGAGAGAGGAGTGAAAATGTGTGAGAGAAGCAGCTCTGCAGAGACCAGGGTCAGTGAGGAAGGAAGGGGAGGAGGTGCTCCAGGCACCAGAGCAGAGATTCCCCTGCAGCCCATGGTGAAGACCATAGTGAGGTCCTCCAGATACAAGCTGGGTCTTCATCCACCTGACCCACACCTCGTGGAACCTCATCCCTCCAACACATGGGCTGAGGAGCTGGTGCAGGGTCCCAGCAGTGCTGTGGCAGGACTCACCGTCTTTTTGCATGAGTCTTATTCAGGTCAGATCCTACCATCCCAGGTAGAAAGAATGCAAAGCCTTAACTGACTGATTTCCTCTTTGTTTCAGGTCATTCTCTCAGACATGCTTCAAACATGCTGCTAGATGTTGAGTAAGCAACTAGCAAATTCTGGAACACTTAAGAATAGATTGATCTATATTTATAGCAGAGTCCAAAATGTAGGTCTTGAGACCGATTTTTCTATCTCTTTCTGCCAAGTTTGCTATGGAAGAATGCAAAAGCAAACTTCTGAGAATTTCTGAATACTGCTTTGCAATACATTTTAACTTCAATATAATCATTCCTACGGATTTTCATGAAAATGGTTCTATTTTCGTGAAACTGTTCTATTATCTGCTGTAAACGTCCTCCCATAGAGCAGAACTTCTCTCTCTGTATGTCCCCATACTTACTGGAGCTCAAGAGTGACTTTTAATGTTTAAAAATAAGAAGAAAATGAAAGTATCAGACTTAGTGTTGACCTTAGCAAAGCCTGTTGAAAGCTTGCCATATTCCCACATGTTTTTAACTTCTCCTGCAATATTTAATACAGTATTATCTGGGGCATTTTTCTGTGAATTCTTGAAAAAGTCCCCCCACCTCACATCTATAAACTTTGAATTATTTTGGTCCTTTTGTCGAATAAATACCCTAAGGTAGTTACCGTTGGACAGTGGTGGCAATCAGCCACTACTACCTATTAAAATCTGCTAAACACAAAAGGCTTCCTTCATGCCACCCATACATCCTTGCAGGAAGGAGCAAGGGAACCTTGGTGTGTGGTGCACAGTGTCTCTAAGTCATTTCAGTACAGGAGAAACCTTGCACAAGGTGCACGATTCTGGATGTTTTGCAATTAATTATCACCAGGTCTGAATAATGCAAAGCAATCACTTTCATAACAAAAATCCCCAGATTTCTTAAAAAAAAAAGTATCTTTAATCAAGAAAACCCAGTTGCTTCTAGCAGCTGACTTAGACACAAAAAACGCCTCCAACACATGCATGATTCAAATGCTCTTTTCAAAGAAAGTCTTTTGATGAAATAAGGGAATTAAACATCAAAACCAACATCTACCAATTGCAAAAGACAGACCTTGGTGTGACAGCTGGTCAGCTGAAGAGCAGAGAGCTGGCCACTCTATTACCTAGTTCATTACCCAAATGTTTCAGAAAGTGGGGTAATTTTATTAAACAGTGATGACAAAGAGTTATTAAGAAAACCAGCAGAAAATGGTACTTAAAAGAGAATAAGAAAACACAAAAAACATGTTTACCAGTTTGGATGGAGCTTTGCCTCCAGCACACAGGAGCAAAAAGCATCGCCCAGATGCAGTGGTGAACTACTAAGTACTTTTCATAGATGTCCTCTCAGGCACTGTAAGCAGAACCCATGCTATCTGAGGTTCCTGTGGGTTTCTGAAACTCAGTTATCTAATGAAACCTGGTTATCTGCAGGCATGAAGGAGATTTCTCTCAAAGCCCTCCTTTCCCTCACTCTCCACTGCAATATCCTCTGCTCAGCAGGGCTTCCCCAGAGAGAGATGGGCAGCTGTCCTCAGCCAGGGCAGGCAGCAGCTCTGCTTTCCCACTTTCCTGGTGCTCAGGTCTGCCTGCCCTGCCTGCTTTGCCTGTCCCTGCCTGCCATGGGGCTGCTACTCTTCCCTCCCTGCTGGCTGCTCCTGGCAAAATTCACAGGATTGAGAAAGCAGCTGTTTATTTGTGAGAATGGATGGAAATGACTGACATCTGGACAGAGGGCTTGTTCAAGTCTTCTTGCACTCAGAGAGAAGTCAAGAAGTCTGGATTTCATGTGGCATGTGCAAAGAATATAACTGCAAATGGTATGTTGGTGGAACTGGCATAGTGCATATTGTTCATGCCTATTTACTGTACCCTGTTACAGCATGTATTACATTAGGTACTGGGCAGGTGATGTTAAAGAGGTAGCAGCAGAGCTCTCTTTATGTAAGAGCCGAGAAGATTGAACTTCTACATCCTTCAACCAGTGCGGTATTCTGTGTTCTGCACATTTCTGAAGGCTTTCATGTGACAATAGCAGCAGCAAAACCAGATGAAGGGTATACAGCGTGATCTGTCAGCAAGATGGTTGAGGTGTGGTGGTTGGTCCCAGAGACAGGTTTCTCCTTTTTTTATATATGTGAGCAACCTGTACCCCATCACCAAAAGATTAGGTTGGTTTGTTTTAAATTGTGGTAAATTGCATGGTGCTGTAACTCGATTTGTAAAAGTTTTTGCATATCCTTTTAAACCCCACTATGCTATGCACTCCCCTGCCCTCCAGTCACCTGGGAAGGAGGTTGAAAGGTTGAAGAGCCCCCAGAATGTGTAGTGGCCATTGGCCCTGTGGTGAGATGGCAGAGCCTTCCTATGTTTTGCTCGCTCCTGCCACGGAGTAGTTAGAGGGGAAGCTTACAGGGGATTTTCCAACTGAGGTGACCTGTGTAGCTCTTAAGACTGAGGAGTCAGAAATCACTCACAGAGGAAGGCTGCTGCCAGAAATGACATTAATTTACTTTTCCAGACCATTGACTGACCTTCTTTTGCTATTTGGGTTGGAAGCCTGAACATGAGCATGCTCTGCTTAAGAAGAGCACACTCTGTGGGATGCACCAGCTGCCCTCTCAGTCAAGCAGATGTGCATGCACTGGGAGAGGAAGCACAAGGGGTGAGACATTCAGGGTGGGAAAGTCATGTAATTAAAAACTCAAAACAAGGCTCAGGGAAATCTGCCTGCATGACTTCGGGTCATCACATAAAGACATATTGGTGCCCCATGGTGCAGTTCAGTTCAGCAGTAATAATACCACAAAGCCGGGCTCTGGGTCCAGGTGCAGCAGAGCTGTGTGTGTGTGAGAGCCAGAGCTGGCATGCTGCCTAGCTCCTGGCCACCTCTGCAGAGCGGCAAACAGAGCAAAAATCTAACAGAGCTATGGAGCAGGCCTTTACTGTGTTTCTGTGTCATACCTGTATAAAATGGTCTTCATCCAGACCTATCTGCAATTTCTGTCTTTGTTTTGTTGTGGTTATGTTGTGAGTTTTATTTTTTTTTCCCCAGTGCTTATAATATCATTTCATGTGCTATGGAGGGAAAACAGTCTCAATAATAGGACATCAAAGCAAACCCAGGCTATGCTGTGTTGTAAATAAAAAGAAAAACCAGTGGTTTCTCCATGTAATTTTCCTCTTTGCTGGGAGTCTGCATCTGCAATATTCAAAAGGTGGGAAATCTGGAAAACTCTTTTTTGGCAAATAATGCTGCTATTAATATTAAACGATGTATATGAAAAAATAGGAGAACCTCAAGAAGACTGAGCCCCTGCCTGCGTTCCTAGCAGTGTTACACTACGGTCACAGCAAGAAATGCAACGAATCCATGGAAAGGTGCCATACCCCTTAAAAGCTGTGCGTGGTGTGTTGATCCTGGCTGGAATCCAGGTGCCCACCTCTATTGCTCTATCCCCATGCTCTGTCGCTCGCCTCCTCAGCTGGACAAGAGAGAGAAAATACAACAAAAGGCTTGTGGGTCAAGATGAGGACAGGCAGAGATCACTCACCAATTACCATCACAGGCAAAATAAACTTAATTGGGGAAAACTGGTGTAATTTATTACCAAACAAAAGAGTAGGATAATGAGAAACAAAAGCAGATCTTAAATGCACTTTCCCCTCACCTCTCCCTTCTTCTTGAGCTTAACTTTATTCCTGATTTTCTGTACCTGCTTCCCCCCAGTGGTGTAGGGAGATGGGAAATAGAGGTTGTGGACAGTTCATCACACATTGTCTCTGACACTTCTTACTTCTCAGGGGGAAGGTTCCTCTCACTCTCCCCTGCTCCACTGTCAGCTCCTCTTTCACAGCTCTACATTTCCTTCCAGGAGTCTACTCCAGCGTGGGCTTCCCATGGGGTCACAGCTTCCTTCAGGCAACCTCCTGCTCCAGTGTGGGGTACTGCATGTGCTGCCAGTAGATATCTGCTCCACTGTGGACCTCCATGGCACAACCTGCCCCATCATGGGCTGCAGGTGAATCTCTGCTCCAGAACCTGGGACACCTCCTCCCCTCCTTCTGCACTGACCTTGGTGTCTGAAGGGATGTTTCTCTTGCATTCTCGCTCCTCTCTCTGACCACAGTGAGCAGTAACTTTTCCCCTTTCTTTAATCTGTTATCCCAGAGGTAATACCACCGCTGCTGATGGCCTCAGCCTTGTCCAGCTGTGGGTCTGTCTTGGAGCTGTCTGGCATTGGCAGGGGAGGCTTCTGCCAGCTTCTCATAGAAACCACCCTGTAGCCCCACTGCTACCAAAATCTTGTCATGCAAAACCAATACAACCTCAGTGTAAACCTATTTCCTTACTGCTTTACTTGTCCTGGGTTCAGCAGTAGCAGTCATTTTTTCTCCTTAGTAGCTGGTGCAGTGCTGTGGTTTTGACTTTCAGGCTGGGAACAGCGCTGATAACACCAATGTTTTTAGGTACTGCTCAAATGTTTAGTCTGCCCAAGGACTTTGTGAGCCTCATGCTCTGCCAGGGAGGAGGGAAAGCTGGGAGGAAGCAGAGACAGGACACCTGACCCAAACTGACCAAAGAAGTATTCCGTACCACAGAACGTCATGCCCGGGATGTAACTGGGAGTTACCCAGAAGGGCTGGTGGACTGCTGGGGGCTGGGTATTATCGGCCAGCGGGTGGTGAGGTGTTGTGTTCTCTTCCCTTGTTATTTCCTTTATCATTATTATTATTGGTGGTAGCAGTAGTGATTTGTGTTATACCTTAGTTATTAAACTGTTCTTATCTCAACCTGTGGGAGTTACATGCTTTCAATTCTCCTTTCCATTCCTCTGGGAGTGGGGGGAAGAAAGGGGAAAGGGCTTGGGGAGGAGTAGGCTGCATGGTTCTGATTTATGGACTGGACTTAAACCACGACACTTGTGTGTTCTTCTTAAAGATCTTTATGGTGGCTGTAAATTTCTGTTGAAGCAGCTGCCTTCTTTAGTGAAATGAGTTCCTATTTTGTAGAAGGGCCCTTTGATCACTAATGCATCAAGAGAACATGCACAATCAAAAAAAAATATTTTGCTTGTGATACTAAAAGCTTTGCTATAATTTAAACATGAAGAAAAAAAAAAAAGAAGGCAACCAGGCAAATGTGCAGCCTCTGTGCATTTTCTTACAGACAGCAGTGACCCAAAGCTGAGACTCTGGACAAAGTGCAGGGAATAAACTGAAATTCACATACAAGTCAAAGAGGACTGTCTCCAGTCAAACCTATCACTGCGTTTTCAGATATATTTGCAACCTTTATAACTTACTTATCATCTTTATTTGAGAAGCCTATAGTATAGGAACTCCAAACCTCTTCTTGTCTCTTTTTGGTTCTCTTTTTCTATTTAAAATGAAGTGGTTTATTTATCAATCTTCTTCCTAGTCTACAGTAAGTGCTCTGCAAGGTGTCATCTCCTGCAGTGAGACTGTAGTTAGGTCTCGCTTTCTGAGAGCTCAGTTTGTAAGGTAGCTTGTTATTTCCATTGAACTGGGGGCTTCATCAGGCTTGTCTAATAGCCCTTTATAAAAATTTTCTCAGGCACAGACCTGAAAAAATGAGAAAACTGTCCTTCTCTCTGGAAAAAAAGTGTCTGATTTTACACACACATATAATTTCCGAGGCTTGGAGACCCATGCTGTGCATCCGTCTGCATAAAATCTGTTCTACCAAGATGAGAATATTTTAACTCTGTAACACCTACCATGCAAAGAAGTGTGCACTGGCCCCATTTTACTTAAGTCCCATTGAGCCCAGTAGGAGCAGTCATGTGCGTAAGTTTAGATATATGAGTCTTAGCATAATGAGAGACAAAGAAAACATTTCTTCAGAAACCACACATGAAATTTTTATGCATTTGGATGTCAATAACAAAACCTCCATGAGCCAGGACTTCAACCATGACTGCTGCGTGATTCAGGCTTATTCTGCAAGGGATTTATAAATATGTCATCCATATTGTCTTATTAAGAGTTAAATCCAATAATATGAAAAGTATCCCAACATTTTTCAGATAGTTCTCACATCTCTCCATTATCAGTGAAAAAGAAAAAAAAAAAAGAAAAAAGAAAAAAAAAGAATTAACTTTTATTTGTGTTACTTTTGTGCAAAAGCCTGACTTCTAATTTTTAATTTGATGAATGTCATAGAGAAATTTCAGTGAAATTCATGTCACTGTTTCCTAAATTCATTTGGCATTATGTAAAGCATATGGCAAGATTCCTTCCAAGACAAAAACACGATGGAATTAATTTTTACATGTTTTTGTAAAAATTTGCAACCTCCACACTTACACATTTACAAACATTACGTGAAGCTTCAGAGAAAGAGATTACTTTCTGTTTTTCCTAAATTGCCAGAAAATGTCTTAACAAGGAACCTGTTCATTATAACATGGAAGAATTACAAGAGATCGCTGCTGAAGTATAGCATTTGACGTATTAGGCAAGGAGAAATAGGTTTTCTCACATCCTGATGAGATGGACATGATTAAACATGTGGACTCCACATAAAGCTTCCAAAAGGAGGGATTTGCAGTAATAAGAGCTCTCAGGCAGCACAAGTGTGATCCATTTACACCCCAAAATAGGAAAGAGGGATCATGCAGCTTTCCTCCTCGGGAATCTTCTCCTGAGGACAGCTGACATGCTGTCTCTTTGTTCATTTGCTCTAGAGTGAAACCCATCCAAGTGTCTCAGCTGGGAGCCCAGCTGGTCTATAGCTAATGCAGAGAGTTGAAGTGCTGCTCCTTTTCTCTTTCCTTTTCCCTTTTTTTCTTTTAAAATTTTATTTTCCTTTTCTCTTTTTCCCTTTTCCTTTTCTATTCCCTTTTCTTTTTCCTTTTTATTTTCCTAGAACCATAGATTCATAGCATGGTTTGGGTTGAAAGGGGTCTTTAATAGTCATCTAGTCCAACCCCCTGCCATGGGCAGGGACACCTTCAACTAGATCAGGTTGATCAAAGTCCCATCCAGCCTGGACTTGAATTTTTCCAGGAATAATTTTCAGGGCATCTACCCCCTCTCTGGGGAACCTGTTCCAGTGTTTCACAACCCTCATCATAAGCCCTTTCACCAACCTTTTCCCCTTTTCTTTTCTCTCTTACTAATTTTCTTCCTTTGTTTTCTCTTATACCTTTTGCACTGCCTTTGGTGAATGGCATGGTGATAGGACGTGTGGCTGCAGCACCTCTGCAGCTGGCAGAAAACTTGCTCCTGGCTTTCACCAGATGGCAGGAATTACCACAGCCCCCTAAGGCTCACATATGATACAGAGCTGGAGCTGGTGTCACACTAGTGCAGCCACATGTGCTTTCCTAGTTTCCCTCACCTACATCTTTCTCTAGCAGCAGGGATATGGAGCAGAATAAAAGAAACTGCTAATATAGTAAGACCCCTATTTTCAAAGACAAGCAAGGGTTTGTTATCTATTTCCAGGTCTGTCTGACAAACATGTCTCCTTATTTCTCCAAATAAGGAGAAACTTTCATTTGGGGGTGTTGGTGAATGAAAAGGTGGACATGACCTGGCAATGTGAGTTCGCAGCCCAGAAGCCAACCACATCCTGGGCTGCATCAAAAACAATGTGGCAAGGAGGTCAAGCGAGATGATTCTTCCCCTCTACTCTGCTCTCTTGAGGCCTCACCTGCAGTACTATGTTCAGCTCTGGGGCCCCCAACATAAGACAGACATGGACCTGCTTGACTGGATCCAGAAGAGGGCCGCAAAGATGGTCAGAGGGCTGGAGCACCTTCAGTATGAGGACAGGCTGTGAGAGCTGGGGTTGTTCAACCTGTAGAGGAGAAGGATCTGGGAAGACCATGTAGCAGCATTACAGTACCTAAAGGGCTCCTATAAGAAATTTGGAGAGGGACTTCTTACAATGGTCTGTAGTAGTAGGACAAAGTGTACTGGTTTAAAACTGAGAGTGTAGGTTTAGATTAGATGTTAGGAAGAAATTCTTTGCTGTAAGGGTGTTGAGGCACTGGAAAAGGTTGTCCATAGAAGCTTGAACACTGCTCCATCCCTGACAGTGTTCAAGGCTAGGTTGGATGGGGCTTTGAGCAACCTTCTCTAATGGAAGGTGTCCCTGCCCATGGCAGGGGGGTTGGAACTAGATGATCCTTAAGGTCCCTTCAATCCAAACCATTCTGTGAGTCCATGATTCCATAATTTCTTGCTG